GACCAAGGCAGACTCTCCCACCACCCCCAAACCTGAAGACACAACCCCAGAGGCACCAACGACCAAGGCAGACTCTCCCACCACCCCCAAACCTGAAGACACAACCCCAGAGGCACCAACGACCAAGGCAGACTCTCCCACCACCCCCAAACCTGAAGACACAACCCCAGAGGCCACAGAGGCACCAGCGACCAAGGCAGACTCTCCCACCACCCCCAAACCTGAAGACACAACCCCAGAGGCCACAGAGGCACCAGCGACCAAGGCAGACTCTCCGCAGACTCTCCCACCACCCCCCAACACGCAGACGCAACCCCAGCGGCGGCACCAACGACCGGAGTCTCCCCTCCCCCCCAAACCTGAAGACACAACCCCAGAGGCACCAACAACCAAGGCAGACTCTCCTACCACCCTTAAGGTTAAGGGGACTACCCCTGCAGCCACTGAGGTTGACACCACTGCCATACAGAAAACAACACCTATTGAACTGACAACTACTGTCCCTGGATTAGTAACAACTGCTAAAAAAATCACAACCACTCAAAGCAGTGAGGCGGTCAGAACAACTAGGAAGGAAACCCCCATACCTGAAGCAGACGTAACAGTTTCAGAAACAACAGCAGAGAAGAAAATTACAACTCCTCCACCCAAAGTAGCAACCAGCACAACTGCAAAAGATAGGACTACAGCAGGACAAAGGATAGTGGTGGCTGCAGCTAGGACTACTGAGATTGTAACAGTAACTGATAAAAAAGACAAAACAACAGCTAAAACTGTTACTACTCCTAGAACAGAAGAGCTGACAACTAAAATAGAAAAAACCACGGTGAACAAAGAGATAACGACACCCAAGAAAGACAAAAGTACTGTGCTTAAAGACATTTTAACAACAAGTAGGAAAGACACAACTACTGTAACTATGGTGATAACAGCTAAACCAGATGACTCTCCTAAAGGTAAGGATGATATTCCAAATACAACTTCTACAGCCAAGCAAGCTGTCACTACAGCAGCTGAATCAGAAGCAGCTACTGTGGACAAAAAGACTGCAACAATGGCTGCAGAAAAAGAAGCAACCCCAGCTAAACAAGACAAGCCTCCCATACCAAAAGAGACTTTACCAGCTAAAGAAGAAGAAAGGCCTGCAGGAACAGCGACTCTAACAAAAGCAGCTCTAGCAGCTACGACTGCCATGCCCAAGCCCACTGTGTTGACAACAACTGCCAAAACAGATTCAACTCCTAACCCCAGGGAGATTGTGACAACAAGTAAAAGAGACACAACTATGGAAACTAAGCAGACTGTAACAGCAGCAGCTAAAGAGAGCACAGGTGCTACTTGTGTTGTTGTAGAGACAACAACAGCTGGTAAAAAAGAGGTAATGACCATCAAAGAAACTAGCATCACAACTGAAAAAGAAATGGAAGATGCCACCGAGAAGGCGCCTAGTATTGACAAGGGAGAGGGAACCACAGTTACCAAAGAGACCACTACAAAAGAGAAAAAAGACACGATAGAAGAAATGTTTATTGTTTCTAAAGGGACATCCAAGCCAACTATACATTTCCAGGAGGTTACTGACACAAGAGATGAGCCTCATCCATCCAGCCCTGAAACGCTGCCAGTAAAAGAGCCTGAGATAAACAACAAGCCTTTAATACAAACTGCAGACTTGCCAATTTTAACTGGAGAAACACAAGGTAATTGCATTCCAGTAGGTACAAAAGCACCAATAACTCAACCAGAGAGCACAACAAAACATGTGAGTAAAGGACATGCAAGACCTTTCTATCTGGTGCCAGAAGGATGTGGCACTCCTGTCTGGTGGTCAATAATGAGCACGATGCTACAGCTGCCAGCACCCTGAATGCTGGTACCTCAGTTTTCAATTGTGTTGTTATGGAAGTTCTCCATGTAGTTTAGAGCATGATCTTGTTTCAGTAATTGGTCCAGCTGAAAAACGTTTGCTCTAAGCACTGTGGAAGATGCAAACACAAGAAGTAAAAGACAAAGAAGATACATTTCTGAGTCCCATGAAAACATTGCCAGGGAGTCAGGCTGAATATCCACCATTACTCATGGTACCTAACCTGTCATTTTGTAGTCACATACAAAAAATGTCACGTAAGACAGACAAGAAGTCTTTTCCTTGTATTCTCTCTCCTCTGTGCTTTTTAACACAACATTTTTCGTGTCATCACAGTTTATTTTAATCAGATATAGCCCCTAGGTTCTTGGGTAGTTTTTCAACCATATATTGACATATATTTTGGGAAAAAGAAGTTTTTTAGATGGAAAATACTTGGGTTTTTGTCCAAAACAGATTCATCTTTCCTTTATATTTAACTGAAAGTAAATATAAATGCTTTTTTAAGAAACAAGGAGGGGGAGGGGAACCGACTAGAGCAGCTTACAGAAACATCAAGTAAACATCCTGGAGCATAAAGAAATTAAATGAGGAACGTAGCATACAATGCAGTTATAGGTCTTTTTCTGAATTACAGGTACGCAGGTAAGCAATAAGTGATGATATCCATACCTAGTCAGGTAAACAGCTGGTCTTGCACTGCTGGGACCAAGAGACAAGAGCCAAACTTTCCAAGAATCTCTCTCAAATGAGTAATCAAACCCTTTGCATGACAAGTGCCAGGCAGAGACCTGAGCAACAGAGAGCCCTGAACATCGCCCGAAACAAACGATCACGTCTAACAGCCGCAGTGCTACTAGCGGTGGGCAGGGGAGGTAACGCACTTTCTGTTAAATGTTAAACAAACCCAAGCCACTGTGTTTTGCAGCGAAGGACGAGAAGGACCTGTGCAGCGGGAAGCCAGCGGACGGCATGGTGGCCCTGCCAAACGGCACCCTGGCCGTCTTCCGAGGTAGTTCAGCGCTCTGAGGCCGCACAAAGCGACACCGGAGCCCAGGGGCCTCCTCGGCCCGGCCCGCCCGCGCCTCAGGTGTGCCTCCGGGGCAGGAGCCGCCTTACCCCCTCAGCCGCGTCCTGAGGGCAGGAGCGAGGAAAGACGGGAGGGGGATCCTCGTTTCTAGTGCCTTTTCCCCTGCGTCTGTCTGTCCGTGCGTCGGTCCACACGCCTTTCACCATGCCTCCTCCCGCTGCGCAGGTCACTACTACTGGCTGCTGAACGGCAGGGGGCCCCCGCACGACCAGCCCCCGCCGGATCAGGGAGGGCTGGGGCGTCCCGTCCCCCATCGACGCCGTCTTCTCCAGGTGCAACTGCGATGGCAAGACCTTCTTCATCAAGGTGGGGAGCCCCTGCTCCGGGGAGCGGGAGGCAGCCGAGAGGCTGCGTGGGGCAGGTCAGCTTAGAAAAAGGTGCAGGTTTTGAAACGCAGCCCCGCAGAAGAGGAGCCTTGCGGTGCTCTGAGGCTGTGTTGCTCGTTTTATAGAACAAATGGAGTTTTCAAACGGCGTGGTGGGTTTGAAACTCTGTGGGTGAAGTTAAGCGTCTCTTCCTCAGCCACCCCTCGTCTGCCTTGAAATGCTGCTTATCAGGAAAAAACTCAGTTCAGTGCTTTTTTCCCCTGTGACTGGTGACAGAAGCGTAGCAGTGACAGAATAACTGATAATTGAGTTTACATATAAGCCATGCTTCAAAAAAATCCAGTGCCTTAAAAGATGGGTATTTTATCGTGTCTTGCCCTTGCTCGCACACAGCCTAAATTAGCTCCTAATACATTGCCCTTCCTGAAAGAAGATGATAATGAAATGCACACACTTCATTCAAGACATAATATAGTTATTTCCCAAGTAATCACTCAGCCCTAGAATTCAAGCAGCTTTTTTACCTGTGAAAATTTAGAGATTTAGAAAGCAATGCTTCAGTATTCTTCAGTATTGCTTTCAGTATTCAGAAAGCAATGGTTCAATAACCACTCTTAACAGTTCATTTCTAAGAACTCTACTCCTACTCAAAGGTGGTGTTAAAAGACTTGCAGAAGGTATTTAATGAAGTTGTAATATTTTTTCCTTTTTTTAAGGGATGTAGGAGTGGTTCCAGTCAGTTTTACAATGTATTTATCAAAATGCTAGTGTTACGATTATTTTTCATGCGTACGTTGAAGTTCAGTTACCAAGAATGAATTTCCTCTAAAGCCCACTTTTTCCTTAAATCACTAGGGTCCCCTATACTGGCGTTTCACCAATGGTGTTATGGATAAAGGCTATCCCAAACCTCTTGCAAATGGATTTGCAGGGCTGAGCGGGAAAATAGTAGCAACTCTCCCTGTGGCAAGATACAACAACAGACCAGAATCTGTTTATTTTATCAAAAAAGGTATGTCTCATATTTCAGAAGTTCATAGATCATCAAAAAGTGCTTGAATTGCTTGGAACACCATTTCTCTTGACTGAAAGACATCTTTCTTTCAAAACCAGAAACATAAGTGATGTCAGAGTGTGCTAGGTGGTCAAAAAATAGCCTGAAGCTTTAAAAATTTGTATTAGTATTTACGGATCTTTAAGTGCATTTTAAAATGGACAGGACTATAGGGGACAGAATCCAGCATCTTAGTGGACAAACATTAAAATAAGTTTTAGCTGGTGGTAAAACTATTTTAGTCTCAAGTTAATTAGAGAAGGGAAGACTTTAATTGTACTAGTTCATAACTATGTATGGAAATCTCCCTATTTCTTGTTCCGTATTTTAAATTAATGTAATTTCCTTATCTTATATGAATGATGTACTGCCAGCAGAAGAATCATTACCTAAATTTAAAAAGCAGAGGTTAAGCAAATGCAAATCTTTTTCCAGATGCCAGCCCTCCTCTCACACAGCCTAAAATGATGGTCTTAACCCTCTCCCTGATAAATAGGAATGATGGCAGCAAAAGCAGTTCCCCTGGCATTGTACTTAACTTCAGTAACTGTAATGAGCTTGCAGGAGGTATCGCTACATCTAGAAGCATGTGTTAGATTTAGAGAGCAAGGCTTTTGTCTCAAAATATAGGAATGGATATAAAAAGCTGAAGGCTGCAACAGCTGTAGATGTATTAAAATGATGCTATTGATTTTCTGCATGTGATATGAATATCATGTCATATGGATATCAATGACATTTTTGTATCTGATCTAGCTTTTTTTTTTTTTTAACCAAATGAAACAAACATCTACTTTAGATGGCAACATGCAACAGTACGTGTACAGACAAGAACCAGCCAAGAAGTGTCAAAGAAGAACCCAGGTTACCATAAGATACCCAGCTTATGTTCCAAGACTTGTAATAAGGAGACGCTTTCAACGTGCAGTAAGAATACCAACTGCTATGCAGACTGTCAGAATCAACCCATATCCGTCTGGTAACTTATGTTTATTAAGTTTCTTTTATACAACCATTTTAATCTTAGTAGTTTCTGAAACACAACATTCTATTCCATCTTTTTTAATATAGTACTTTTAAATTTTTTTAATGCAATGGATCTCGCTTGCTCTAGATTATACAAGCAAATGATAGCTTACAGCAGACACGCTGTGACACCTCCTAACTTAAGTTTTATTTTGCTTGCAGGAGTTTTGCGTAAGGAAATCAAAATGACTGCCTACTGGAGAGGGCTCCCGAAAGTAATTCATTCAACTGTATCAATACCCAACTATAACAAGCCAGATGGCTATGATTATTATGCCTTCTCTTACAGTAAGTTAAAGCTAATGCAAGTTACTATACATTTCAAAAGACTAAGGGATGGGGAAGAAAGAAGCCCATGTATCTCTGAGCTTTCCAAAGTGTGAGGTTACTGCTTGTGATTCTGCAAGACTAATTTTAAGCACTACTAAAAAGTCCTGAGAATTAAAATGTTGCCTGTAATCAAGAGATGTTTCTATTAAAAGTCAATAGTTACAGGACAACTAGCAGCAACGAGGTATAATGATTCAAACTAGCCAGCTGTGGAATGCGTTGCCATAAGAGTTCAGGCTTATAAAGTGATAAAAAAACCTGACATATTATGTTAATGACAGAGGAAATCCTTGGATCACTACACATCAATGTTTTTTTCACTGGCTTCCATGGAACTATGTTACTGACAAAACGTAACAAAAATGGGAGCGACACAAACCATTTTCCTTCACAGGAAAAAATTATTTATGTTTCTAGATTAGGTAGATCCTTCCCCTCTAGCCAGGATCTTGTAAAAGCATTCCTCAGAATTTTCTGGATTACTCAGAAAAAAAAGCTCTAAGAACTAGCTGTATCCAAATACAGGATACTAAAGTAAGTCTCTGCCAGTATGATCTAATTCTTAACCTTAACATAGGCCAATTCACGCTCGGGGACCACAGAGTTCCCACTTTTGTAGTCAGTGCAGGATTATTTTGTTTCTAGTTTGTTTGATTTCCAAACTCTTAAGACCATTTCTGTGTTCTAGCAGTATAAAAGTATTCTTCCCTACTCTCTGTTCTTGGGACAGATTTCATTATTAGCAGTACTGTAAAACTTCGCTAAACACAAAGAACGACATGTAAAAAATAAAGCTGAGGACAAAAATTCATTGTTATAGCCTCTTAACTCCATCTATGTATGTGGAATGTTATTAATGCCTAAATGAAATTAAAGGAAGGCTTCAAGATTCTTTCCATGTACTAAATGTAGTTTCTGGAATTTCATTCTGACGTATCTTCATTTCAGATCGGTACTACAGTTTGGATGTTGGCAAAAGAATAGCAAGACCTGTTACCGCTCTCACAGGAAAGACTGTATCCAAAGACTGGTACAACTGTCCTAGCAAGTGATACGCAGCAGAGGATTTAAAAAAAAGATGCCATTTGAATGTTGACATTTTGTCTAATTTTATTAATAAAGACATTGAAATGTGTGCACACAAATCTAAGTATAAAATGCTGCTTTAAGCTCTGGCTTCATTACACTAAAGCAACCACAAGCAAACTGTCACTTTTGTATACACAGCTGTAATTACTTTACAGATCCTTTAACTAATATTTCCTCTGTTCAGGCCTCCTCTGCCTCCCATTGCATGAGTTACACCTGTGTTGGGAAAGAAAACAAATGCATTAATAGAAATCCTCTTTGCCCTTTTCATCAACCATCGGTTCATATGATACTTCATCCTTCCGTAAGGAATTGCTACTGCAGTGGAGCACTTCCTTTCTAGTAAAATTTTTAGCTCCCCCTTCCTCCCCTAGAGCCTGGTGATATGGATACATTCTACTTGTGTGATTTAAAAGACTGTTGTTTACTTGTGATCCTATCTCAGGCCCTGTGCCAAAAGAACAAGTATCACATTCTTACCATATTTAAAATCAGTTAGTCCCTCCCTTTTGTTATTAAAGAAATGGTGATAGACTAGAAAGAAAATCTATCCTGGGTCCACCTCCTCACGTTTTTTTTTTTGTTTAAAATACCAGATACCTATATTTCAATGCTACTATCAAGTCTTATACAATGTTAAAATAATGCCAAACTGAATATAATTCATCTAAGGATTTTTCTTAATATGGGAGTTGCAAACAATAATTTACTGTCAATGGTTTAATGCTATACTGCATTACAAAAATCTGTAATACTTCCATAAAGTTTTTTTGTTGTCTTTTTAAATTAGTGTAAGACATAGTGAGATAATAACTGGAATCCCTGTGTACCAAATGAGAAGCTGATATGTAATGTTAAAAACAAAGATTCCTAAACTTATGTCCTAACTTATTTTTTTTTAAATCTTCTTTTAAAAATTCGTGAAGTTAAGATCTGCTGCACTTTACTTGCTCTCACATAAGAAGAAAATTTACCTATCTAAAAAATGCTCAGACTAAAATAAAACTACAGAGCTCTTAGGGTAACATACTACTGAAAGCTAGGGCAGGGATGCTGTATTATTTAATGTCTTACAAGCAAACACAGGCATATAAAGTAGTATTTCATATATAGTCCCCACAGGAAGAATGTACTAAAAGCCTGTTTTAAAGAAAAAGAGTGAATTTGAGCACCCAGGAACACTTACCCCTCTGTCTGTTGAACTGACGACCACGAACACCAGTTCTTAATGTCGGTGGCTGAAGTCTGACGCGTCGAAATGGCTTAGGCTGATTACTGCTTGTGTCTGTGAAGAAGTGGAAATGCAGCAAAGAATGTCTGTGTCTAGTACAGTTTCTCACTGTTAATGTTTACATGATTTGATACGCATTATGCTCTCAAATTTACTCAAAATTATGAAGGTGCATTCTTATTTCATTGACATCTTCTCCAATATAAATAAAAGCCTCAAAACAAGTAAGTTTGGGACTTCTTTCATCACCTTTGCTAGGTGGTAAACTGGTAACTCAACAGTGATCCACTTACTGTTCTTTGATGATTTAATTGAATGAAAAAATATTTTTAAATCTGACATCAAATGTAACAGTGGATAGAATCACCAAAGTATCAACAACTTTTGCTCCTTGAAGCATTCTTTTTACTACAGCCTACACTAGTTACTGCGGTCCAAGTAAAAATTGTTTGCCATTAAGACTATAGGCTTCAAAATGTGATCTTGCTCTAAGAGTTTTATCTTATTTTGTGCATCTTGGCTATCAGCAGTGCATGATGCTGGTCCAAAAAGTTCCCACACTTTGAAATATTATGAAATGACTGCTTCCAGCAATTAACCCATACCTGCAGATGAACTAGAAGGAGGATCTTGACTAGTTGAAGGAAGATCTGACTCATCAGATGCTTGAACAGATTCTTCTTCTTGCTGGCTATCAATTTCTAGGCCTGCTTCTGAAGTAATTCTAGAAGAGAAGGAGGGGGAGGAAAAACATGTAAAGTGTATTCACATAGTTTCAAAAAGCTCAGGGAAAAAAGCATCATCTTGGAGCAGAAAGATTCCTATGCAGATGTCTTTCCCCAGAAATTCTGACCAGTTTAATTCTGTTTTGTCATGTCCCCCCTGCCCCAATCATGAGATTTATCTGGCTTTTAGAAAAATGACAATGTAGTTTCCTTGATATGGAGCCCAACTCCAGACACATATTCCACATACTAATTGTCTTTCAGAGAAGGTCATAGAAGCTATTTAATAACAATAACTAAAAAACCTGATGTGATGGTGGTGCGTATGTTTAGATAGGGGAAGAATGAAGTGGAGGGACCGCGCTGACCAGTTATGCCTAAAGATCACTCACTGGTGCAATACCTAAGATCTTTGGACTCTGTCTTTAAAAGACAAAAAACAAAAAGCATTATAGGGCTGGGAAAAAAATTAAACATTCAATTTAGTTTAAATGCAGCTCACTTTTTGGCATACATTTTATTCACCTTGCTTAGTATACAAACCCTTGTTAGAAGATGATAACTAAAACTCAAACTGTGGGAAATATCTGTTCTCTACTAGCAACAGATTGACTTGCACTCCTATCAAGCTAAAAGCCTGTTCTGAACTACAGATTGTTCTGTGAACCACTTAGTTCCTCTATGGATATACTTCTCATTCACTAAAGATTAGATGGTTATGTAAGAAACAAATACGAGACCTTAACATCAGAATACCCATCCTATGTTCTGTCTACGTGTGGGCAGACTACTGCAGTCCAAGTTGGTGCTCCATCAAGAAAACTGTGTGGCATATTTAACTTGCAGCAGTAACATTTCATTTTATTATGACCAAACCTCCTACCTCCTGCAATCAGTAGATAACAGTGTAGGTAAATTGTGAACTACACATCTTTTACTACTATGCAACCAATAAAAATGAAAAGTAAAATATAGCATAAAATGATAACTTATCCCCTTTTAGATTTGTAATGTATTTGATCATAATACAAAATACAGCCATTATTATAAATATTAAAAATTGCACTTGCAAAGTAGAAGACAAAATCATTTGTCTATCAAATTCTTAAGAACTGCTTATTGCCCTCCCTTGTGCTACATCTTTTGTACTTGCACTGCCTTAAATGAATGACTTCATTATATATGCTTGCTTTGTAATGAGGAGTGATTTTCTCTATTAAGAAACAGGAATGCTTTAGCCTTTATTCTACAAACTCCAGTCTTTCAAACTGGGGCCTTTACCATCAGTGTTTGACTACTACAGAGCCCTCTGCATTCTGAAAAAATACAGAAATGGGGGTTTTTTTTGGTGACTTCTATATTAGCTATGTTAAATCAGAAGAAGAAAATCAGAAGAAAATCTTTGGGTTTAGACAAAAAGGTCAGATTGTACTACTTCACAAAATTACTATATCCTGTTTGAGCTGTCCTTCCTACCAGAACAGGTTAAATTGAAAATGAATCACAGGCACACTTGGATGGAAACAAATCATTAAAACTGACATGACATCAAGTCTTAGTGAACCAAACAACTCATAGTTTACCCTTCAGATTCTGCCTCTGCAAAAACTTCATCCCCATCATCACCCGCTCCAGCCTCTGTAGTGGTGGACAGATTGCCAGTAGATGTCGTAACCATTGGAACAGACTGAGAAGCATGCTCTGAAGCGTCAGCTGATGCACTTTCAGTAAAAACTGTCACTGTACAGGAAAGGTAGTTTAATAAACATTGAATTAGTTTGAATCCCTACAGAAAATCCAGGGAAATCTTAGGCACATTGGGGAAAGGGCTACTGAATACTCCTGATGTAGCAATAAGCACTATAACAATAATCTAATTCTTCTCTGGAAAGTCAAGGTTTCCAACCTTTACTTCAGCCTGCAAATTTCTTGCCACTTACCTGGTGCTGCTACTTGTAACGGTGTTGTGGGAACACTACGACCACCTGATTCTTCCTCATGAGCAAGGAATAGTGGGGTTTCATACATTCCTAAACCTGCAATGCAAAGTTTTAGTGACAATTAAAATAGCCCCCTAAAAACAGATTAACTGTCTCCTCTCTCTACACTTGATGAAATCCAGGATTTGTACTTAAATATGGAGATTTTTTTTATTTTAAGCTGTTTTGACTCACTGCCAGAGCTAATTATAAGTTATTGAAAGGTAAAACCTTAATGAAAATATTTTTATTTGTTTTACTATCATCCTTTTCTTATATGCCATTATTTTGCTCTGAGCTTTCTTCAAAGAACAGCATACTGTTCCATGCTGATGGGGATGCAGGGGAAAGGAACGGATTCAGGACGACAGCAAAAACAATAGAGACAGATTGCCTGACCACCTCTTAGCAGGTAAGTATATATACCAAAGATTTCTTTGCATTTGCTGTTTTCCCCTATTATTTTACTACAAGAAAGCTACAATCAACAGTAAAATTAAAGTTAAAAGCCATTCCTTCAATATTCCTTGTGCCCAGCAGGCAATTTGTCCTACATAAAATTTCAGCTTCTCTGGTTCACAAGCCTATGGTTCTTACCCACAGAAGCATTCTATTTTTTAAAGCATATTACAAATAGAAGTGCAGCAGCTTGAAGGAAACACCTTTTACTTTCTGTTAGTCTCTCTCTGCTGACAATTATTTAAGAGTCACAGGTTTCCACACTTCAACAAGTACCTGAAAGCAGAACTGCATTTTATTGACTGTTGTTTTTCACTCTAGCAACCATGGAAAAGAAAGTACAGAAATGGTTTACCTCCTTGTGATGCAAGCTGACCAAGATCAGAGTGACTCGAGCTAGTTTGTGGCATATCTTCAGGGGGTCCAAATCTGAATCTAGGAACTCCAGCTACCTGGGGGGAACTATCAAAATAAAGATTTAAGGAATTCTGCAATTTTTCCAATGATTGGGGAGGGAGGAAAAGAAGGGGGGGGGGGGGGGGCGAGACACTTTCTGTG